CCCCAAAACCCCAAAACCCCAAAACCCCAAAACCCCATTGGGTCATTTTATTATTGAAATGCAGATTTATGTGCCAAAAAAGGTTATTGGAGGTCAACAGGTTGAGCATTTTTGGCTTTCTCACGCTCCTGTGAGTCGTTTCCTAGTAAGAGCAAGCTCACTGCAAATAAGCAGATCACAACTCCACAGAGGAAGATCATGAAGTTTACTGGTGTGTATGTCTTGAATTCTCTGAGAAATATGAAACCACTGAGTAGGTCATGAATTATATTTCCAACTTTTAATTCAGGAATTACGTAAACAGTGTGAAAATGCTTGAATGACAGATTTATCATAAAATATCAGCAGAATACAGAGATTCCCACTAGTCAGATATAGATGACAGGCAACAGACTGAAGAATGATGTCCCACTCTTCTCTGCAAGTGCATGACAGGACAACAGCTTGACAAAAGTAATTGCTAGGCTTGAAGAAAAACAAGCTGTGTAGGGAAACATTATTAATGGGATAAATCTTCACCTAGGACTATATCAGATTGTGTCCAAGAGGCTATTTTGTTGGTCAATTTTGAGGCCTATGAAAGTTTAGCAAACTCCCAGAGGATTAAAGGTGAAGTCTTACTCTGTTTTGGATTATCTAATTTGACGTCATCTTCGATAATCCCCACCGTATTGTTGTCTTGGATAGGAGCATCAAGCTCAATTGTATCCTTCAACTCGGATTCAGGGTGTTCTTCGAGACTAGAAAATAATTTAGGAGACTTACTCAACTATTTGGCTACTTTCGGTGCCCCCAGATGGGAACTTCTGAAGGATATATCTCGAAAGGATCAGCCCCATACTGATGATAGACAGATTTAGTAACAGATAAGCTACTGACAGGGAAGAAAAGAAATACGTGAACTGTTCAATCGTATGTTTACTTTGTGTCTTTGAAGAGAAGGATAAAGCAAGGATTGCTCCAGGGATGAAAAAGCCCATTCCTATTCCTTCCCACTTCTTGACTCTTTCCTTGAGGTAAAACTTGGCTAGGATCATATTTGCAATGAGTGAGAATGGGCTGAGGATTCCAAGGGTTGATACATTAACAGTTGCTATTCCAAACATGTATCAGCATTGAGCAATGACGATTAAGGGGAACCCAAGCCACCATTTAGTCTGGGTAAAGATCGAGGCATCAGTGTGTTGGATTTTGTTGTAGGCTTGTTTTTGGATAGCCCATCCGAATGCTGTGAGAATGTTGCCAGTTATGTGCACCATCGCACCAATTGTTGAGATATGCATATTAGTTCAATTATTATTTAGTAATGGGGTTTTGGGGTTTTGGGGTTTTGGGGTTTTGGGG